ACTACAGATTTTTTTTTTACGGTGCATGTTTAATTTAAGTGTGCTTTTTGGTCTAACAACTGTTGCATAATTTGCACAAAATGTTTATGTAAAGTTTTATAACAAATTTCATGATTCATTTAGCAATTGACAGAAAGGGATGTGTGCAATTGGATTAGATTGTTTAAAGACATCTGTCAATTATGTGATAATTAAGATGAATTAGATATGTGGGCATGCTTGATGCTGCAGTGAAAGTGTGAGAGAGCAAATACTGAGTGGAAACATGCATGCATACATGTATATAATTAATGTGTATCGTGTTAACTCATGGCTACCCCTGTGAAAGTGAGGCAGATGTTTTTGTGTGTGGTATTAATATGGTGAACTCAATCCACTGAATAGTTTAATTAAATATTTCCTTAAATGTTGCGCCAAAACCAGTTCCACTTATTTGCAATGCTTCATGAATGAAGTTTCATATGTCTTACATATTTCTTATATCTACTAGCCTGAATAAACTCATTATGTCAAATAAGATATTCAGCCAGCATAGCACTGAATATTTAATTGTCACATTCAAATATTTATTGTCAGTTTATTTTAAATTCATGTATTTCCATTTGCATTAATATTTAAGATTACAAGAGTTACATTACTATCAGTATAAAGAAAAATATTTAATCCGAAGACAAATACAGTCCTGCTTTCCTCATGGTGCATTAGAAGAGTGAAACCACATATCTCCACAGCAAATATCTTCAGGGTTGGTGGCAGGTGTTGGGACTATATACTGTATATTGAATATCATCTCAGTGACACACTCTGACAATCTCATCTCTCTCATTCTATCTCTCTGTGGCTCACTCTCATGTTTCTTTTTTCTCCTTTCGTTCTGTACTAAAGCGTATTTACTTTAATATACTTACTGTGTGGAAAAGGATTGATGTAGTGATGAAAAAGACCAGTTTTAAATTCTGCTGTACACTGAAGTTCAGTACTTACTCTTTAGAGAATTAGCGACCACACAAATAGCTACCAAAAGAAAAACTCAAAAGGATTAAGCCACACAAACACATTTTTCATGCACTGACATCTCAGCAACTTGGATTTAGAGATGTATTACTCAATTAAATTCATTTATTCCTGTACAAGACATGGTAATAACTGCATTAGCTCCTTAACAAGCCGATCCAAGTAAATCTTAGTCAAGTTTCCATTTTTAATTTCACTAAAGGATAAGTCAATTGCACATTTGCTTTGTCTTGTAGCTAATGTGAATTTTATTCAAAGACTTAAGACTAATGTGAATTTTATTCAAATACTTTTATCTTAATTTTTCTTTTTGGTTTTGAGTGTATGGTGAATTGAAAAT